AATCTTGTTGACTTAAATTCTTAATGTTCCCTTCACAACAACAGACTGACTGGAATCTCTTCCAAAGCCTAACATCTTCAAAATTAAATTTGAAACACTCACTGAAATCTAGCGAAGATATCATTGCAGCTGTTGAACACTTCAATAACTGAATCCAACAAGCTGCTGGGACATAAACACCCATTCTAAGCAAATCACAGTGTACAAGAATCTTTTCTCTTGTAAAAGAAAAACTGACAAAAAATGCCAGGCTAGAAAGAAGTGGCCGCAGACTAGACATCCCGAAGACAAAACAAGATTAGAGACTCTTTTTCTCAAAATGGTAATAGAACAAAGAAAGATTAATCACCAATTCCGTTTGAGGAAAAAACACAGCACAATCGAACAAGTTCACAGGCTTGTAAACTGCATTCACACTGCATTCGAACACAAAAAGTATTGTACAGCTACATTCCTCGATATATCTCAAGCTTTCGATCGAGTATGGCCTGACGGCTTGTTTTACAAAATAAAGAGTACCCTCCCGATAAACTTTTATATCTTTATCGAGTCCTATCTCAAAAATCGATTTTTCTTTGTTAAGCAAGGCGAGGAGCAGTCTGAGCTCTACGAGAGTTCAGCTGGTGTACCTCAAGGCAGTGTGATGGGTCCCATCCTTTACCTGTTATACACATATTATTTACCAGCATCCCAAGGAGCAATGGCTCCAAAATGGCCTAAACAAAATAACACAATGGCCGAAAGATTGGCGAATTAAGACAAATGAAACAAAGTCTGTCCAGGTTACGTTCTCCCTTAAACGTAAAACCTGCCGGCCCGCACGTAAAACCAGCAAGCTTACGTAGAAAACTCATATTTTCACTAAACGCAAAACAATGGGAATTAAGCTCAGAAATTTATAATGGTTACTGAACCCGAAGTCTCAAGTCTCACTCAAAAGTAAGCTCTTACTCTATTCATGTGTTTTAAAACCAGTATGGACATACGGAATACATGTATAGGGCTCTGCAGCAACCTTCAATATAGAAATACTCCAAAGATTCCAATCAAAAACTCTTAGAATGATTGTGAACGCTCCGCTCTATGTCACAAACAACCAAATACACCGTGACTTTAAAATCCCTACTGTTGCTTCCGAAATTAAAAAGCACTTTTTGGCGCACCGACAAAAATTCATGATCACCCAAATCCTCTTATTTCTACACTCACTTCTCATACAATGTCATTCCAGCGACTTAAAAGGAAATCAATATTAGATCTCTACTAACATTGAATACCTGCGAATAGAATATGGTTGCACCACTGGGTGTACTACATACATGATTATTTTCTTATTTAGCATTTAAGTTTTAAATATTGCTTAATGTTAAAAAAGAAAAAAAAAACGGATCGCAATAAAGCGAAATAAAGTCAATTGACATTATTACAACAAAATCAACAAAAATTTGGATATAAAGTCATTGACGCTATTTCCTCATTCAAATGGAAATAGCGTCAACAATGCTTAAAGTATGTCGATTCATAGAAAAAAATTTTGTTCTTACAATAAACATTGCCCCGTAAGTGTTGTTTTTTAATAGATGAATGATGATGATTGCCAATCATGAACTACCAACATTTGATTTTATTATAAAAATTTAAATTACGGATATGTAAAAACACGATGCGAAAAACTAAACGCCTGCGCACAGCTGGAATACGAGAAATATTTGAAGAAAGAGTGTAGAAATGATCCATAACTTGCAAAACATGTTTCGTTTCCACAAAAATAAAGTGAACACTATTAAATTGAAGAAACAGTCCATGTCCAAAAAACCCGGAGGAACACTGAAAGAATTCTGTGTTATATTAGCATATTTTGAACGAACTCGGAATGTCTAAGGTGGAAATGAAACCAGCCTTTCTATAAGGAAACAATTATGGTAAAAGAATTTTCTTACACTGTATTCATGTCTCCGCCAGCAATTTGTGACGACATCATTTAAAAGCAGCTAAGGAGAACGACGACACTATTTATTAGATGGCACATTCAAGGTGCCAATGTGCCAAAATACGGGTATAAACAATTATTGATTATTTAATATCGGAACCGAGATCATATAAGTTAATTGATTGGTTTTCATACACTTTTGAAACACAAATTATATGCTTTTTTACTGCTGACAAGTTGTTGCCCCAAAACACAGCAGAAATCTTCCAATCAGGGCGGCCAAATATCCTTAGTTATAAGGTGCCATATTGAGGATAAAAAAGTGCCAAAATGTGCCAAATAGAAAAATAAAAGTGCCAAAAAAGGTGTCATTCCTTTTAATCATTCACATTTAGCAATAAAATAAAGCTACATTTTCCAAACAAAAGTAAATAAAACATAAAAAATAAAAGTAAAGTAAATTAAAAAATTTTAGTTGAGAAAAAGAAGTGCACGCAAAGGATTTCACAAAAATGTATTGAAATGTTATTTTTTTACAAAAGTGCCATTTTGGCACTTTGTGGCAAATTGAAAAATTATATGCCATTTGAAGTAAAATAGTGACAAATGGCACGGTTTGAGCCAAGTTGGCAACCCTGCTTCTAATAACTTACAAATATAAAAATGTGAAATATCGAGGGCTTGAATTCATTAACCCTCTATTTATCTGCAATTTGCACCAAAACTAATTTGTGATTTTAGAAACCATCTGGGACTTATTACCTATCGTTGTATAAGGTAGCAATAATATCACCGATGATAGTTAGAGCTTAGGTGGATTTTTATATCAGAATCTCATCTTTGTGTGCAGATAGAGGGTATTTTATTGAATATAAGCCTTCGATGTTTAAAATATATAAACATTTTATTTCAACGTATACAAAAATTAAATCTACCAGCGTTACAGCACGTCGGGAGACGAGGAAGGGGGGCCGGGGGGCGCGAGCGCGGCGAGCGCGGTGTGACGCGCTGACGCGGGCCGCCGCGAAGCTAAGCAAATTTAATGTTTGAAAGAGAAATATTGCCAATGGATTTTATTTCGTTTTTAAAAAGGTAATAATGTCAATTGACTTTATTTCGCACCAGGGTGGGAAATAAAGTCAATTGACCTTATTTCCATTGACCTTATTACCTCTCACCTTTAAAAGTTGGATTAAAAATAAAGCTATGTCTAAAGTTAAGCGTTTCTATTATCGGTTTTTGACGTATGTATGTTTCTTGGATGTAAACCAGCTTAAAACCGTTAATAAAATGCTTTACAATCATAAATTTTAATGCAACCTTTAAAAATAAAGTGAGCTTTAAACTGAGAAAACTGCCCTTAGTGAGCTAAACGACGTTTCAATTGTGCAAGTTATACAGGGCAGAACTAAGTGCAATTGTAAGGCAAAATTGGCTACCGGGTAAAGAATTTCGCTTTCAGGTAAACTTCAAAGGTTAGGGGGAGCTGTGTGCTTAATTTCAATGGAGGTACAAAGTGTGATTATTATTAACGGAGATTCCATTGATACATTTAAGATGGTTAGTAGTTTTCCTACTCTTCTTTATTGGGCTGTAACCGCCTAAACGATTTTGGCCGAGTCCAAAACAGCACGCCAGTCATTTCTCTTCTGTACCAAATGACGCCAATTGGAAATGCCAGGTGAAGCCAAGTTACTCAGGGCTTTGAGTAAAATTTCCGCGCTGCGGGTTCGGCATTAATTTCTCCGAGGGTCGGTCAAATACTCCTGGATTCTCTGAGCTATAAAACATAATATCATCTCTAAACATGCGCATTTCTTATTTAATATACATTTACATATTACTTTTCTGCTGTTTGAAATATTTTAACAACCTTGTCATTGTTGTTGCGATTTGACAGGCAACTTTTAGTTAAAAACAACAATCACTGGTAGGAATGGCCATTCAACTAACGCTTCATGAGGTTAGGGCAGTTGTCTACTCAGTCCAAAGTAGTACTTGTTTGCTAGAGTGATTCTATGTTGTCGTATACTTTTTCAAACTTGTAACTCCTTACAGTGGTGTGCATGCCAAAACGCTTATGCACTGACTGTTTGCGTGATGACAGGAGATACTTTGGTTTCTCCTTGTTTACCACCAGACCCATTCGCTTTGCTTCTCTATCTAATCCCGAGAAGACAGAACAGACGTAGGCCTTGTTTTTACCGATAATTTCGAGGTCACCGGCACACGACAGCAATTGTACGATCTTTTAAAATATTGTGCCTGAGCGGTTCAGTTCTATGGCTCTTATTATCTTCTCTAACATTAGGTTATAGAAATCATAAGAAAGGGAGTCGCCCTGTCTGAAATCCAGTTTGGTATCAAACGGTTCGGAGAGGTCCTTCCCAATTCCGATGGAGCTGGTGGTTTTGCTTAACATCATTTTATACAGCCATACTAGTTTCGCGGGGACACCAAATTCAGACATCTCGGCATAAATACAACTTCTCGCGCTGGCTTTGAAATCGAAAAAATAGATGGTTAGTGTCAATACCATTATTGCGGGTCTTCTCCAAGATTTGGCGTATTGTTAATACCTGTTCTATGGTGGATTTTCCAGGTCTAAAACCACACTGATAAGGTCCAATCAGTTTGTTGACGCTGGGCTTCAGTCTGCCACAGTTATTTCGGATTCTCTCTTTTTATTGCGGAAAATACCTCTCGCTTACCTCTTCAGTTCCCGCCCGATCGCAGCGTGGCCCTGTGGGCGGCACTGTTCACGTATGTCGGTTTGTTGAAGAGTGCTCTCAGAGGGCAGGTGTGAGGATCGAGTGGAGAATAAATACACCGTCTGTCTGGTGATTAGAGCTTTTAGACGTTAAGCTTTCCTCGCATTATTTGGCGCACTTTTTTTTGCTGCACAGAGGCGGGTGCGTATCTCGGCTGCAACAAGATAGTGAGTGGTCTTAGTTGATGTCGAAAAAGCTCAATGCAGGAAAACTTAAGTCAACAAATGTATTTTGTGGTTGAAAGAATTTCATATACACTAGTGTTGTTATTGTTATTAATGTATTGTTGTTCGGCGTAGACCAACGATGCGCAATAGTGGACGGACTGACAGAACACCTCGAACTCAAACGCGAAATTAATACCGCCGCCGATCTAGAAGCCAACAGAGCATCAGCCCTGGACGCCATAGAAAGGTCACAAGAATACGCCTCGAAGCACTTCGCCGAAAGAAGAAAACCACTTGAGATATACTCCGAAGGCGATTTCTTGGTGATACGCAACACCGACACCGTTATTGGTACCAATAAAAAACTTATACCAAAATATCGCGGTCTTTACGTAATCCACAAAGTCCTGCCTCATGACCTGTATGTCATTAGAGATGTAGAGAATTGCCAACTAACTGAACTACCCTATGACGGCGTTGTAGAAGCGGCTCGTTTAAAACGGTGGGTCACTTGGACATGAGGGGTCTGAATGGTTTCCCAGTTGTGGGCGACACCTCCCTTATTCAATGGTACATACATACGATTAAGTTAGTTAGGTCAAATATTTGTATAGAATAAATGCATCTGTAATAGCATAATAGTTTATTGCCCAAATATAATCGAGGCGATTGTAAGGTGACAGGTAATAAGATCAACGGAAATAAGGTCAATTGACTTTATTTCCCACCCTGGTGCGAAATAAAGTCAATTGACATTATTACCTTTTTAAAAACGAAATAAAATCCATTGACATTATTTCTCTTTCAAACATTAAATTTGCTTAGCTTCGCGGCGGCCCGCCGGCCCCCCTTCCCCGTCTCCCGCCGTGCTGTAACGCAGGTAGATTTATTTTTTGTATACGTTGAAATAAAATTTTTATATATTTTAAACATCGAGGGCTTATATTCAATAAAATACCCTCTATCTGCACACTTTTCACAAAGATGAGATTCTGATATAAAAATCCACCTAAGCTTTAACTGTCATCAGTGATATTAATGCTACCTTATATAACGACAGGTAATAAGTCCCAGAAGGTTTCTAAAACCACAAATTAGTTTTTGTGCAAATTGCAGATAGAGGGTATTAATGAATTCAAGCCCTCGATATTTCACATTTTTATATTTGTAAGTTATTAGAAGCAGGGATGCCAACTTGGCTCAAACCGTGCCATTTGTCCCTATTTTACTTCAAATGGCACTTAATTTTTTCAATTTGGCACAAAATGCCAAAATGGCACTTTTGTAAAAAAAAATTACATTTCAATATATTTTTGTGAAATCCCGCGTGCACTTCTTTTTCTCAACTAAAATTTTTTAATTTATAAAGGCAATTCAACTGGTTTTTCTTATTTTATCATTGCACTTTTGTTTGGAGAATGTAGCTTTATTTTATTGCTAAATGTGAATGATTAAAAGGAATGACACCTTTTTTGGCACTTTTATTTTTCTATTTGGCACATTTTCGCACTTTTTTTCCTCAATATGGCACCTTATAACTAAGGATAGTTGCCAGCAGTGTAGCCGCGCATAATGTTTAGTGATAGCCAAATTCCTTTAAAAAAGGGCTAAAAAAGAGCTAAAAAAAGTCGTTGTGGCTAAAAATGGTAGCTAAAATTTTTTACTTACATATACATATATAAGTGTACACGTAAACATTTTCAATAAGTAATGGTATATAAAAACAATGAACTTTGGAAAAAAAGCTAATATTTTATCCAACCAAAAACCTTTTAGTATAAAAGGGGACATATACGACACCAGCTTGCTGGTTCCATCAAGTGATTGTACCATCAG